CTAGGAATTTCCATGGGTCTGGGCAAGATGCAGAGAGCTTATGTTTATGGGGCTGCCTCCTCCAGTAGATGGAGAGCTCTTTGAGGAAAGGGATGATTTGATCTGTTTCTCCATTCTTAAAATGCCTGCTGCTTTTGCTGTTCCTGTTTGAGAATTTGAGGGTTGTTTGTGGAAGGAGAGAAGAAGAGAATTAAGGAATTCATGACCCACTGTAACGGGCGTCCTATGTGTTAGATGATGCGTGGGCTGCTCAGGTTGCAATCATGAACAGGCATCTGGGCTACTGTGGGATATCAGGACCCACGGCGAGGGTACACTGGCTGGGAATGGGGTGGAATGGGGCAGGTCAGGCTGGGCTCTGTCGGCCCCATCAGGGAGATTGGGTTTCTTCCTTCAGGCAAAGAGGAGCCACAGAGGGCTTTAACGTGAGGGATAAATAGCATCTGGTTTCTATTTTCCAAGGTCATTCTGGCAGCAGGGGATGGACGGGTAAGAAGACCAACCAGGAGTAGGCCTGGAGAGATGAGGGCAAGTGAGGAGGCAGGGATGGAAGAAGCAGCTGAATTAGAGGGCTGTTTAGAAGCTGCCATGGGCAGGACTTGGTGACTATCTGGATGGGGGACCCAAGTGGGAAGAGAGAGAAATCCAGGATGTCTGTGGCCAAATTTGTAACATATGCTTTAAGCATTAAGTAGCTAAACTTCTAGAAAAGTTGCCTAACACTTTTATTGGCTAGAATTCGTAGAACATTTGGTTATTAGAGCTGAGAGGGACTCTTGAAGACATTCTGTAGGATCCACTGCTACATAGGTGAGGAAACTAAGGCTCGGAGAGGTCAAAAGATTGACCCAAGGCTGTCCGGCTGGTGAGCAGCAGGGCCATCTAAGACCTATGCCTCCAATCTCCTACGTGTATTCCCATCCTTGTGCTCATAGTCCCAGCCCAGATATGCCCTAAAAATAGCCAGAGTCATTTATGGGAAAGCCTGGAGGTGAGGCTTTTGGGGACTGCATTTTTTCCAGAATACAAAAGCTGTCCCTATTACCCGACTGCATTTAAACTGGCAAATCTGAGGCTCCATCTCTTCATAACTCACTCTTCAGCCTGAACATGGCTGGAGCAGTTTTTCGGGGCTGGTTATAATTAGAGGAGACGGTAGATAAAGCAGGTTCTCTGTGCATTCAGAACTGCACAAACTGTATTTGCTCTGCAGACTGAAGGATGCCCAGGTGGCACTGTGACTTCTTTTCCAGGAAGACTCCAAAGAGGCAGGGGAGGCCTCAAGACTCTTCTGGCTGTGGACTGACACAGGAGGGCCCATAGTCGAGGTCCCAGTCACCAAACAGACACTTTGGAAGGATCTTCCACATATGCCATAGACTAAGAAATCTGTTCAAAGTCCTGCATTTTCAAGTGTGAGTACACACACACACACACACTTGAATCTTCCCAACAAGAATCAGTTGTTATTATTATTATTATTATTATCATCAATATTATTATTAAGAAAGGGTCTTGCTCTGTCACCCAGGCTGGAGTGCAGTGGAGTGATCTCAGCTCACTGCAACCTCTTCCTCCTGGGTTTAAGTGATCCGCCTATCTCAGCTTTGGCTAATCTTTTCATGCATATATTTTGTAGAGATAGGGCACGCACCACCATAATTGGCTAATTTTTTCGTGTGTATTTTTTGTAGAGACCAGGTTTCACCATGTTGCCCAGGCTGGTCTTGAACTCCTGGGCTTAAGCAATTCACCTGCCTTGGCTTTCCAAAGCTCTAGGATTATAGGCGTAAGCCACTGTGCCCAGCCAGAATTATTCTTAAGTAGAAAATAATTGCTATTCTTCAGTCTATAGAATGACGAAAAAGCTTTAAATTCATTCTGAGTTACTGATGATGCAGACAGATTTGTTTGTTCATTTGTCTGTCTGCCTGCCTGCCTTCCACCCTTGCTTTCTCCCTCCTTTCCTTTCTTCCTTCTCCCATCCATCTTTTTGTACATCCCTCCATCCAGCCTCCCATCCAACTATTCATGTTTTCATCCTTTGATTAATGCTTCTTATTTTCACTAATTCATTCATATATCCATCCATTCATTCAACAAACATTTGTCACATTCCTCCTAAGTGCCAGGTACTGTCCTCTACTCTTAAGACACATAGAATAAAGCCCAAGTATAAACATGTCCTGCTCTCAAACAGCCCATATAATTGCTAGGGAGGTAGACAGGGAAGCAAATAATTATAATGCCTTCAGATTGGAGTTCTCAGAATAGAATAAAATGCAAAAAGAGCAACTAATCACCCTGTGGGGCTTCAAGCAGTTTCCTGGAGGTGACTGTTGAGTTGGGCTTTGGGGAATGAATAGGAGTTCACTGCCAGAATAAGGTGAGAATGGGCACACCACACAGAGGTAATATCATCAGCTAAGGGGAGCACCACATCTTTGGGGGCTAGTAAGCATTCCAATAGACTCATGAGTAAGCTAGGACAGAAGAGTCAGAATCTCTCCTGCAGAGTAGGAAGCATGAACTAGATTATAGGAGCCAAGGAATCCAGGTTTTAGAACGACAGCACTTGATGAAGGAGAGGGAAGAGGGCAGTGCTGGAGGTTGATGTGCTGGTTATAGAGATGTTATAACACTCCAGAGAAAAGACAATAGTGGTCTGGATGGGCCTGGTGGCAGCAAGGGAAGTGCAATTTTCTTTTAATTCTTCCAGCCACCAAGTAGATGCAATGACAGCAAAAGTGCTATGTCCTGTCTCTTGGGCAGTCTGTCTGGGGGTGGCCAGTCCAAGGGGAAGAGTTCAGAATCTACATGGCAACACAGCCTATTTTTCTCTTCTTATCACAGGAAAAGAGATTAACTTTTGAGGGTCAGAGTAAGTTTGCCTGATTTTTAAGACAAATATGACTTCATTTCTTCACTCTGTTGAATCAGTTACCTAGAAATACACATTGTACAGTCCAAGCTCCAAGACTGGCCATTCCATGTGGCAAAACAATGACAAATGTGGGCTTTGCTGAGTGGTGGTCTGAATGCAAATCCTGATTCCGCCACAAACTCAGGCAAGTGGCTCAGTCTCTCTGTGCCTCAGTTTTCCCAACTGTAAAATGTGCAACAGTGCATCTTATATAAAATACAGAGGAATGCATCTCATATGCTATGAGGGTAAATGAGGATATGTATGTAAACCCTCTGACACACAGTAAGTGCTCAGGAGGCATTCATTATTACTATTGCTTTTATTAATCACATTACTGTCATAAGGATTCCCTTCTATGGATATGTGTGTTAGATAATGAATTACTTGAGGGATACTGCTATGAAGGACTCATAGCTTCCAAAGCCACAGGTAGATAATGCAATAAGGTAAGAATTTGCTTTGAAGATGGATATCAATGGGAGGTGTCTCAGGGAAAAGTTGGGCAGACACATTCACACTCCAGTGGACAAAAAATAGATTATCCGAGAGCCAGAGCCTCACTGGGGATTTCCAAGGCAAAAAGCAGGAGCCTTGAAGTGAAAATGCCCAGAAGTATTACACCTTGGGCAAAGTATTGGATTGGTGCAAAAGTAATTGCGGTTCTGCCATTAACGTTTTGCACAATTTTTTTTGCACCAGCCTAATAGCTCAGATATAAATATACTTATTTCAAGGAAATTAAGTTAACAAAGTGAAGATGAAAGTCACCTTTATCTCATGTATTAGACGAATAAACCCTGACAGTGATAGCACCCCATTGGGCAGCAGCTTCACACCAGGTGCCCCACCTGAAGAATATCACTGTCTCTGGTTTCCTCTGAAAGTGCTGGTTTATTGGGGAGGCGCTTGAGCAGGGAGTAGAGGCAGGATTCAGGGAAAGAAAGCGGCTGACAGAGTATGGCATGAGCCAGTTACCCTGATGGACAACTGCCCCTAGGAAACTCTGGGACATGGGGTCAAACGTGGACTTCAGAACAATCCCACCCAAGGAGCAGTAGAGCCGGGGTGCTTCTATACCAAGGGTCGCTGGTTGAGAGCTGCTCCTGGGTTGTTCACTCCCTGGCAACTTTTCCCCACTGTGCACATAGGCAGAGCAGCCTTCCACCATTCCAGAAAAATCCCCCAGGCACAAGACGCAGATGCCGGCATCTTTAAGACAGCAGAGCACAGTGACATGGCTAGGTCCCTGGGACACAAGCAGGGATGCCAGGGCCTGCCGAACACCCTCATCCTGACCTCACATGGTTCCCTGCTCAGATGGGGACACATAAGTGCTTAGAATTGGACCCAAGATGATGCAGGAGGAAGAGGAGGGACGCCCAACGCAGGGTCATTGGGTCATTGGCAAGAAAAGCAGGGCTGCTGTCCTGCAGTGGCTTCCTGGTTGGGAGTCGGGAGAGAAGAAAACTTCTTTGTCATATGTATTTGAAGTCCTGAGCAGGGTGCCCAACCACAGGGAGGGCTCGATCCATATTATTGGGATGGTGGGGAGCCGCCTCGGCTGTCCCCCGCACTCTCGCAGCCTTCTATTCTGTCATATGCCTGACAGCCTTTGGTGAGACTCTGCGATATTTCTTTCTGCTGCTGGGTCTGTCGTCACGTGTCTCTTTGTTCTCTCACCCATTGATTCACTCATATATTTATAACTCTGATTCACTCTCGCTTTCACTCCAAAACACATTGATTTATTCAGTCGTTTGCTCACTTTGCCAATCATTTGCTTACTCATTCACCAGCTTCTTTACAAACTCATTCATTCTCATGCATTATTGAGTGACTCCTATAGAATATCCACAGCCTGCCAAATGGAAAATGTGAATGTATGTTCTTTCCTGTTGGATGGTTCTTTAATGAGAGCTGCCACCTGCACGATTCAAACCATTTTATCAGGACTCTGGTGAAATATGGGAACAAGAACAGGGTCAGTGAGGCCGCCCTGAATTGACTAGGGTCATGCTCAGGCTCAGCAAATCATACACCAAAGACAGCACGTGTGGTTGCTGTTTTTCCTTACCTGTGATTTCCTTGGTTCCTCCATTGGTGTGCTTAAAGCGATCTCCTTCTACACGAACGCTAGGACAGAGCACATCTGAGGAAAGCAAGAGGAAACAGAGACTGATGAGAAAATGTGATCCATCGTCACCCTGTGAAATATGACAGCACACGAGACCCCACCCTGCCTTGCAGCATGTGAGGTGTTCAATGCCTGGAGAAGATGCGGAGGCAGCTGGCATCTCTGCACTCACTCATGTTTTCATTTTCCCATGTATATGTTAAGCATCAACTCTGCAAATACCGTGTTCTGTACCGGAGTGAAGTATGAACAAGGCTTTGTCTCTGTCTACAATGAATTCACAGCCTTGTCCGAGGGAGCCAGACACGGACATCAATATTATCAACAAAGTGGAATAAGTTGTAGATACATGTGCCTGCTGCTGTGGGGTTCAGGACACAGATATACTACCTAATCTAATGCAGGAGGACAGAGAAGCTTTCTTGGAAAGATTCCTTTTGAAAGAACAGTAAGATTTAGCCAGACAGGCAAAAGACCAAAAGGTGATACAGGCAGAGGGAACTTCATTTAGGAAAGCATGCACATTTAGGAAAGCATGAAACCTCCAAGTCAGTAGGATGTCAATGAAATGGAAATTGTGTGCAGGGACAGACCAGAAAGATGTTCCATAAGTCATCTAATGGAGTTTCAGGTCCAGTTCCATAAAAAGGCAAATTCCAAATAAGTAAAACTCAGTTAGTTATACAAAAGCAATTCAGTAAGTCATACAATAAAAAATTATTATACAATATTACATAAACATCTTAAAGTCTTCATGAATCCTCACTTCTAAAAAGTTGGAAGAAGGCCAGGCGTCGTGGCTCATGCCTGTACTTTGGGAGGCTATGACGAGTGGATCACCTAAGGTCAGGAGTTCGAGACCAACCTGGCCAACACGGTGAAACCCTGGCTCTACTAATAACACAAAAATGAGCCGAACACGGTGGTGCACACCAGTAACCCCAGCTACTCAGGAGGCTGAGGCAGGAGAATCGCTTGAACCTGGGAGGCGGAGGTTGCAGTGAGCTGAGATCGTGCCACTGCACAACAGCCTGGGTGACAGAATGAGACTCCACCTCAAAAATAAATAAATAAATAATAAAAAGTTGGAAGAAAAATGAACTCTTTCAGTCCCTCTAACAATTTCGGAAAGAGCATTAACTTTGAATTTTAATGTGCTGAGTCCATGCCGACTGCACTCCCGCCTACCACTGTGGCTTAGAGAAGTCTCTTAATCTGTGTGTCTTAGCGTGGGCACCTGTGGCATGGGAGACCTTAAAATGCACACATTTGTCACAGGGCTGCTTTGAGGATTAGGCAAGATTATGCCTACAATAGCACTGAGAGGCTGTAAGGAGATTCAGTATTCTCATAAATTTAGCACCCAAAGCACCTCACTTACCTCCCTGAAGACCCAGCCCTGTCCGTGAAGCAATTTGGTTATCACACGTTATTATTATAATCACACATTATTAGGCAGCTCCACCACCCCATTAGTTCCATATACAATGGCCTGTTCTCATATTTGAGGATATAAGTGTCTCAGTGCACGGGAACAAATGAGATCTTTCCTGATTTGGAAGGAGGTATTTTTAATGTTTATCCTCAGAGGCACCACCAGGTCTGACAAGCACCATGGAAGGGGTTATTTTGGAAACAGCACCAAGCTGTCTGTCTAGCACTACATACAGGAACGGGTGCAGGCACAGCACAATATTTAGACAGCTCTACCCAGGACAGCGGCAGCTGTGGGGTGACGATCAATTGCTTTAAGTTTGGCAGCCTGCCAGAGAGACAGGCTGGGAATTGTGTGTCATTTTAATGAGTTTAAAATTTAAGACGGGTTGACTCAGAAGGTTCTATCTATCTTTGATGATGAGCAAATCTCTGGAGGCTGGCGGCTGGAACTCAGAGTAGGCTGCTCCATTGAGTCACATCATCTCTGCAAATTTCCCAAGGGGAGGACCACGAACACAGAAATGATGGAGATTCTACTCAAAGATAGTAGAACTTGCTCAAATTGCTTTAAGGAATCTTTCTCAAAACAACCTGCAAATTCCCTCTGGGGCCATCACTAAGCCTCACACATTCACCAGGCTCCAGGGGCAGTTTATAGTTGAGTTGGTTAAGTCAGAACAAATGGCTTCCAAAATGGCCCTGCAGCCAGGCTTCTCAAGGATGGTGGGGCCCTCGGGGTTTACTTGCTTGGCAAGGAGGTAGGGTTAGCATCCATGGCTCCTCTTAGCCTATAATTGGAAGCCATTCTGCATGTCCTTTTGGCCAAGATATCCCCATATCTTGGAGAATGATCTGTTTATTTCTGTATTCACTCATTTATTCAAACTCAATTCTTTACTGAGCTCCAGATATGTTACAAGCATTGAGCTAGCTCTAGGGTCACAGAAGTGGATGATAGAGACGTCCTAGTCCCTGCCTTTAGGGCATTGCAGGCCTGACTAATACAACAGACTCCAAACATGTGAGTGAAAGAAAGGATCAGTGCTACCGGGAGTCATTGTGTCTCCATGCTTAACAAGGCTCCTCCTCCTGAATCTTAGAGACTGCTCAGCCTTCAACAACCCCAGGGGCTTGTTTCCATTTGTCCCAGCCTGGGTAGGGAGCCCTTCCTCGGGTCCCAGTGTCTGAGAGCTGAAGGCACCATACTGAAGTCACTAATGGGCATGCCTGTCTCCTCAGGGACTGGGAGTCTTCAGACCGGTTGGACCTCAGCTCACCTCTGTATGGCCACTGTCTTTCTAGCTCCAAAACCATAACAGGCCTTCAGTTATTGAGCAGAAATGACTTCTGACAACTGAACTGAGAAGTAAACACTGACTGGTGGAATGTGGAGCCTCCCAGGCATGGGGTTTGTTATGATTTTGATGAGCCACTGAGAGTATTTCATGGGCCCTTGGGCTCCTGCCCTGGAGGTGTAGCAGGCATCATTTCTTATCAGCCCCCATATCCATTTCCCACTTTTTAATTGCTAAATAAATGCCACCTTAGTTCAGAAAGACAGAGTTGTCAGCCCATGGAGCAGAAACACAGTAGCTGCTTGGTCTAAGTCAATTACGATTATTCTATTCCCCACCTTTCCAGACTCACTTGCAGCTAGGGCTGGATGTGTGATTCAGGGCTGGCCAAGGAAACAAATAACAAAAGTTTGCTGTGGATGAAGGAAAGGATTGCTTAAAAAGCTTTTGGTTTTCTTTATGTAAGGGAATAGATAAGTGGATGGGGTGGTGAGTTTACTTTCCCTTCTTCTCCCTTTGCATGTGAAACATAATGTTTGGGGGACTGTCTAGGAGAATGGAGGAAATATCAAACCAGCAATTCCAATCCTAGGTGGGAAGCATAAGATTTAAAAAACAAAACTAAACTAAACTAACAAACAAAAAACTTCTATTTGTTTAAGCCACCATACATGGGTTTTCTTTACTTGCAGTTGAGTGCATTCCAAATTTGCAAGCATTTCCTTCCTGTGGCCCTCACTGATATGCCAGGGTAACCAGCTTGAAGGTCAGATTCTCTTTCTGGATGTCTAAGGACAGTTAATGAGGGTGATGAGAAATGGTGCATTATTTCCTTGGTAAAGGAAATACAGACTGAGTTATCTTCTCTATCCCAATAAATATGAAATTCTCAGGTAATCCTTCAGGAGCAGCATAAGAAGTAGTTCTAAATTAAGGACAAGGATAAGTTCTTACGAGTTAAAAATGTGGATTTAATTTGTTCTTAGCTGGTCCACTGGTTGATTTCCCTTTTTGAAAACATGAGAACACAAAAACGAAAAAGTCTAATGACAAAGACACTGCTTCCTTAAAGTCCATTTATTGTCTACGCATTGACAATCATTTTCCTTCACTTTCCAGGTAAGTGGAATATTCTAGACTTCTGAAGATAAAAAAGGTATCTCTTCACACAGCGTGGGTTCCTTCTTACCAGAAGCCTATTGATTGATCAGAGCTGCTGCTCTAAGGGAAAACACCAGGAATTTACTGTAGTCTTTCTGGAAAAACACATCCATTTTCGCCCTCAGTTTACCAAATGGCAAAAGGGAGGCATCTGCTTGTCCCTGAGGGGAGGAAAAGGGCTTGCACAACATGGTGTCTGACGACCTCGTGCTCTATATTGGTGCACCCATGGTTCTGTCTGCAGAACACACAGCCTTGGCATCCCCTGGCTCTCGGCCAAGAGTTTTTCCAGTTGGGAAAGGTGGGTACATGCAATTATTGAGTACCCAGCGTGGGTCAATCATCTGGCTTTGGATTTAACTCACAACAACCATCCTAGAAGGTAGATTTTGTTCCCATTACACAGATATAAAAGCTGAGTCCAAGATGAGAAACTCGTCAGATAGGAGAAATATCTCTGTATTTGAATAAATGCCTACCTGAATCTAGCATCTAGGAAGAGATATGGTGGCCCCATGTTAGGAGATCAGCAGGAGCGGTAGAAACAAGGGAAGGATGCCAGGGCAGCCTGCCGGATACCAGGCAGGAAGCAATCATGGCTCATCCATCACCTCGCAGCAGCCGCTGCTGAGTGCAGCTAACCACAGACAAGATGTATGACATCCAAGTGGGAAGGGGAAGAGGTGGAGGAGGGAAGAGCTGAAGTGGACGCCCAGCAGACACAAGGTCCAGTTCCTCCGCTGCTCCAAGACCAGCCAAGGAATTTTCCACACATCTCCATTTCAGATAGGCAACAGACACATGCCAGGCACAAGGGCCCAGGGATCATGTTAACAAGGATTACACTGTCATGGCTCCCAGGGACTGAGTGCCCACATGGCTAGGTGCTGCACTGGGAATGCCATGTGGATTGTTTCTGAGCCTCTTGACTGCTCTGCGGGAGGGATGTAGTTATCTCCATAAGCAGCAGACACATGTAGGTGGCTTGCTGTGCACCAGACGCTGTTCCAAGCATGTTGAATACATTAACACATTTAATTGAATCCTTACCATGGCTTTACGAGGTAGGTGCTATTATTTACAGAAAGAAAGAAAGGGGGACTAACTTCTTTCTGTAGAAAG